AGTTCCTCAAATGACTGACTAAATTTGAACGCATCCCTCTGACCAGCTCTCATAGTATGCCTCTCGTCCAATGAAATGACTTGCTCGCTCTATGATATATACCTGAGATTACTTCCAGAAAGTTGTTCATGTTCTCAATTTTGTACGTTTAACGCTGTATTCGTTCGGTACACACGTGTACCGAACCAAAGGGCCCATACCGAATAATTTCAGTATGGGTACGTGTACCGTTACACCCCTAATTGATTGATATGATTGCGATTTAAATCAGCATATACTTCTGCCAGGGGATGCCACCCCACAAAATCTCCTGCCACCCTCTTGCCACCCCATGAATATTTGTCTAGATCCGCCCCTGCTAGCGAGCGACCCGAGACCACCTCTTTTAGCGGAGCAGAGGTATCGGACTGCTTCCACACCAATCCAACGAACCGCATCAAGGGGTTAACGCTACAGGGACCGATTCAATAGTACTAACCAAGCAGGTGTGAACGTGACCTAAGACTATGGTGCCTTAAGGTTTGGACAGAAAGGCTAGCGCTTGTTCCTTATAAATATAAAACATCTCTTTTAGAGAGACTACCAGTGGGAGACCATAATTGAAGGCAGTAATCAGTATAGCTTGGTTTCAGTCACGTGACTTCTATGACGCGCAAAATTCAAGTGGAGGTCAGGAAGTGAAAACGCAATCATTCATCAACGCAGGAATCATGGAGGACACCGACTATGTCAAACAATTAAATGAACCTGCACGCCGCAGATATCGTGAAAAAATCACAGCACACATCGGATACGATCCGTATCAGCTGAAAAAAAAACGACTTTTCTCGTGATTTATCCGATTTGCCCGCTGTCCAGGCGATGGATATCACCAGCTACCTCGTCCTTCATACCTCCTTCATAAAGCCTGGAAGGTTTCAACTACTTCGTGTGTGGATGGGTGAATGACTTCGGCACCAAAGAGGCATTAAACAAATGTCGCCTTGTTTTTGCCCGGGTGAGTGTTAACTACCTATACCTTCTTACCTCTAAGTAGCATTATTAGGAGACATCTAGCTAGCTAACTTTAGCTACATGGACTCATGTAAGGCAGGGTTACGGCTGTCGCCTTGCCTTCAGCATTAACTGGCCTGTGAGTGTATTGTATATGTGTATGTTTGTTATGTGTTTAGCTTAGGATATATTGTGTTTTGTGTGTATAGACAGCTCAGAGCCTTTGAACAGCCTGCACGTTGTTTATATCACTCTATGTTGAGGTTAATATTAAAAACAACCTCTTTACCAAGACCATCTGGTTATGTGTTGCTTGTGATGTTGTTAAATGTATGTTACCAACTCGCAAGTTGTGAACTGGAGCTTCAATTGTGTAGGTCAACCATTCCCAGAGGTCTGGAGAAACATCATTAAAAATGTGGATTGTAGCTAAAGAAGATGGAGAGGTTGTTACAGCACACTGTAACTGTATGGCTGGGTAAGTCATAAAATAAATATCCCAACCCAAAGCATATTTGACACAACACTTAAGCTCAGACAAAATAATGCCTGCTATAATATTCATGTTATACCATTACTAGCTTTTACGATCAATCTAGTTATTCTAGTATGTCTCTGTCTATACAGTTTGTCAGAATCCTGCTCACATGTTGGAGCAGTTCTGTTTGCAATCGAAGCAGGTGTGAAGATGAGAGAGACTGCATCCTGCACCACTGAGAAGTGCAAGTGGCTAATGCCATCACATGTCAAAAAGGTATTCAGACCCCAGTGGTCAGTCAGCTGTTCATGCATTCCTTGCCTTTCTCATTGTTACACTGCACCTACATGTATGTTCACATACATGTTGGTCTGTCTCTCACATGTGCAGATTCCTGCTGCTCCAGTTGCGATGATAGACTTTTCATCCGCAAAATCCAAAAAGCAAAAACTGGATGATGCCATTGCTGGAAGGACAGGTGAGAAGCACACATTTCAGCGTCCCACAGTCCAGGGTTCAAAATTGGAGCGAGGATCAGAGAGGTATATGCAGTTTTTCAAGACTTTGAGCAGAAATTCCCCAAGAAGTGCTGCACTGATGTCCAGGGAACCATATTACAGAGAATTTGTCCCTAAATCTGTGAGCAAGCTACCTAAACCACTACCTCAGTATAGGACACCAGAGATGCTACAGCTATCCCCAACAGAGTTGCAGAATGCATGCCAGGACTTCAGACAGGAAGAGCTGACACAGCCACAGGTCCAGGCAGTAGAGGAGGAGACCAGAAACCAGAGCTTATCAGCAATATGGTTTAGCCAAAGAGCAGGAAGGATCACAGCCTCAAGACTGAAGCAGGTTCTACAGACTAGTCTTGCACAGCCATCAAAGTCCTTGATCAAGTCCATATGCTACCCAGAGGCATACAAGTTCTCTACAGCTGCAACAAGGTATTTATTAGGGATTAGGGAGCCAATCAGAAAAGCAAACTCTATACAGTTTTTCTCAGACGCGGAGGGATACCGACTTGTTGTGAAAAGTAACTTACAATTCTACCCGTGGTATACGCTGATTATATCACGTATATCAGTAAGTTACAGTACAAGTAACTTATAACTAAATTCATTATCATTACAAAACATGATTCACAAAATATTCAATGCATACAAATACTGTGTGTGTGTGCGTGTGTGTGTGTGTGTGTGTGTGTGTGTGTGTGAGAGAGAGAGAGAGAGAGTCAGGTATGGATGCAAATACGAGGCAACTGCCATAAAGCAGTATGAAGGAGTACCAAGTCTGCACCACCAGGGTTTAAGCTGTAAAGACAGCGGGCTTTGGCTGAACCCTCAATGGCCATACATGGCAGCGTCGCCAGACGGAGGTGTCACGTGCACCTGCCATGGAACTGGTATCTGTGAGATAAAGGTAAGTTATTTGTTCAGTATTGTGCTACAGTAAAGCGAGTAAGTATAGGATTGTGACGTGATCCTGAGTCTGGGGATCCTCTCCCAATACATTTTGAGCTGCAGACACTTATTTACAGTACAATATATTACTTTTCTTTTCATTGAACTTTTAGTGCCCACACAGCAAACAAGAGGAGGCCAATCTTCGCCTGTGTGCTGGAGAACAGGGCTTCTGTCTCGTCAACGATAGGGGCACTGTGAAGCTGGACAGGAGACATGCCTACTACCATCAAATACAGGCTCAGCTCCACCTCGTTGATGTTGACTACTGCGACTTTGTTGTCTGGACTAAAAATGACCTCTTTGTAGAGAGAATTGTGCGTGATGTGGACCTGTGGGACAACATCATTCCCAGAGTTGAGCGTTTCTTCAGACTGTGTTCTCCCTGAAGTGTTGGAACAGCAACTTACAAGGGGAAAGGTAAAAGTCATAAAGAGTTGGTGTGCTCATTTTTTTCCACAAGAACATGTTAGTGCATAACTATCAGGTGACTAAAAGCCTCCTCTCCCTGTCTGCTATTCCATTTTTCAGTTTCAGTTGCAAGATGATCAGGAGGGAGAGAAGGCGAGATTACCAGCACCTGTGGTCTGTCCTGGTCCCGGAAGTTGTGGTTCTCTCCTTGTTGCATTATTATTACGTGCCGTAGTGGGTGCTGGTGTTTGGGTGGGTGTCTTTTTCTCTCTCCCTCTGATCTCCCCAGGTGCTCCCAATCTCCAATCAGCGCCTCCATATAGGACATGAGGAAGGTTGCAGTCGCTCTCCCCTTATCTTAAGCTTTGTTTGACAAGTTGGCTGGTGAGCCCTTTTTCGTTGTGTTAATTAAAAGACCACTTTATGGCGTCAGAGATCAGTTTCCTCTCCTTTTTCTCTCGGCCGGTTATGTTGTGTGTCGCTACTTCCCTTTGTACCCCTATATTTACAAGGGAACGTAACATTTGCACAGTGGCAGCTCTTTAACCTGCATTACAGCACCTTCATATTCACTGACCACACTCACTAGAGGAAGTAGGGCTGTGTGATATATTGCTATTGTAAAAAATATGTTTACTGAAAAGATTAAATGATACTAAGACTGAATAATACATGGTTTCTTATTTACATTTACAATAACCCTCAATGGCCATACATGGGAGCGTCACCAGACCAATGGTCATCTCTAGAATATTGTTGAATGAATTAAGCCTGAATGTAGATGAAAGTTGTATATTGAGTAGGGCTACACAATTTTCAACACAAAAAGATGTTTACTGAAAAGATTAAATGATACTGAATAATACATGGTTTCTTATTTACAAGACTACAGCTCCATGACTTTACTCCAATGGGACGACAGACACTGACAGATTAGACAAGGCACAGCAAATAACCCCAATCTTGTCAATTAATGCTAGTGCCTCACCTGGTTTTGTTAGCATGTGCTCTATGGGCACAGCCCTGCTTTGCAGAATCTGACTAATCCTATGAATCTTTCGACATGAATACGCACATTAGCTATTTTTCTTGTCTCTTCCACCTCGTATGCTGACAGCTGACTTTTCCCCCTGGTGAATGCAGGCATCTTTAGTGAAGCACAGTAAAATCCCACACTATCGGCAATATCGAACCCACGGTCTGCTAGGACAATATCTCCAGGTAACAGGTTTTTTAGGAGCCCACTCTGTATTGTGATCTGTTTATCACTAACTCTTCCTCCCCAGGCACAAGATATGTAGGTAACATAGCCTTGGGGAGCAACACCAATCAGAAATTTAACAGTATGGTGATGCTTGTAGTTGGACCATGTTTGTGCTCTAGCTAGTAAATTAGAGGGCCTCTCAATAAAAACTTCAAAACAGTCAACAATCACAGCAACTCTACATCCAAATGCCTGTCTGAATCCCATTGGCATTGTAGCTTGAAGTACATGTCGCTCTGGCCACTCAATTATAAATTCTGTACTCTCGTGAAGTATGTCAATTAACTTATGCCAAATTCTAGAAGCAGTGGAGAGAGAGATGTTGAACCTGAAAGCCAAATCTTTCAGAGGGAGATTTAGTCTCAGCCTCAGCAAAACTAAAATGAACTGTTCAAATTTGGAGAGCACAGACATAGGTGATGTAGGGCTCGCACAGTTGAAAAACCTGAAGTAAAACTAAGAAGTTGGGGAGCCCGGTGTAAAACTTTGTTTTCTCTTCGTTGTTCTCAAAGGACTCCTGGTTGAACTTTGTGTCCAGTGCCTTTGTCCGAAGATCTCCCAGCTCTGTTGTGTTCTGTCTCAGAACATCCTCCATCCTCTCGATGTCCTCCATCGTTAAATCAGTCTGGCATCCTGCATCTGCATACAATATAGCAGTAGCAAGCATAATTAGTTATTTAAAATAGTCAAATATGAATGTGAATTTTTGTGAAGTTATCTTTTTGACAACCTTTTTACAGACATGCAAGTTCTCTGTTCCAATTATTGCAGATTTTCAAATTAGTGCTCTATTTTCTAAACCTAATTCAAAGTTTGCATTGATTTTCTGACAATCACATTTGTAATATTTAATAATAATGCTGGTGGTTAATTTACCTTGTTGGTCATTTAATATCCCACTGGTGTCCTCTGGTTGTGGGCTGTCAGATGGGGGCTGCGTCGGTTCTGGGCTCTCGGTTGTCTGCAGGAGATCCAACAAAGCCTCTACACATTCTGATTGTCTTTGTTGGTCTTCCTTGAGCTCCATCCACTGCTCTCGTCGAAGAGATGCCTCTGATCTGGGCTTACTTGTTGTGTGGTAACCGAGGCTAACAGTGGGAGCCCAGTCTACCGACTCAACGTCACCCAAAGTGCTAGGGCACCCTAAAAAGTCCCAACAAAGTCCATATTAGACTACAGGTAACTTAAACATGATCAGTATTACTAAGTAAATACGCATTTAACCACAACCCAATAATACCTAAACAAAGCCACAAAAACCAAGTTAGCTAATACCTCTGATGAAGTGGTCGCTGCAGACCCGTGCATTAGACGACTCTGCTCCTCCCGACCGCAGATGTAGGTTTGAAAGCCATTTTTTCCGGCGTTCTTCGGTTAGCCTCTTAAATTGCTCAGCTATATGGACGACAACCTTCGGCACTCGGTAAAACCTCTTGTTTTTCTCTCGGCCGGATCGATTGGAACAACCGTAAACTACACAACACACCGGCATTTTCACAATGGTAACAGCAGCTAGATCCTCTGTAGAAAATTACTTCCTGACCTCCAATGGAATTTCGCGCCAAAGGAACGCAACGGTGTGACGTCACGTGAAACCAAGCTATTGAATGTATTACAAGTCTAAATAACGTAGAGCACGTTGAACATTTGGAAAGGGGGTAAATAAATAACATGAATTGTAATTATGGCTGTTCTGATGCGGGACAGCTTGTCTGGTAGTAGTGAAGCTTGCATCAGCACACTATCGAGAATGATACCGATAATTCTAGACGTGTGGAAGGGATTCCAGTTCCTGTTCTGAAAGAGGTAGGCCTAGCTGTTAAAAAGTTTTATCTGGGAAAGTTAACTAGGAAATGGTTAAAAGATGGACACCAAGGGGTGCTTGCAGGTGTTGCAGAGAATCCAGCATACTGCTTCTGATGAGGTGTCAAAGAAACGTGGGCTACTATGGAAACCAAATGCACATTTGATTGTAAAACCTTAAAATATATATGCCACAGAAGGCATATGGGATGTCTGCTTTCCCTGCCATGTCATCTACAGAGCAAAGAAACGGGAAAATCTTTAGTAGTTATTAATACTCTTAACAGAATAATCGTGAGGAACTAACGGCTCAAGAAACGTTGCTAGAATAATTCCTCCTAGCACTAGGCTAGGGGCCTGTCGTGTTTTTAAACGTTTAAATAGCAGCACGTGTAATACTCCTGGCTCCTTCAGTGCAAACTTCAGTCTTGAGTGCAGGTTTCAACAGACATGGGTCCCTGGGAGCCAGCCTAACCTGCTAAGAAACCTTGATTTAAGCCTGTGATAAGGTCATTTGACGAACATCTGTGATTAGAAAGAGCTTGAAAACGATTTGCAGCATGTGGCCTCCTGAGGCACACCCAGCGAGGGGCAGAATATTGCAGGTAGAGCTTAATTCCTGTAAGGAAAAACTCTTCTTTGGTAGGTGATTAAATGTACATGGCCGCTTGGCAGAGAATGATTCATGGTATTCATAGAAAAGACACTGTTGGAGAGATTGAAGTCTAAAATGATGGTCAAAAATGTATCGAGCTTCCCTTCATATTCCCGTGATGGAAATTATTAATTTATTTCCATTTTTAATTTAATTGATTTATAGTAGTATAAATACTTATACACATACAACTTCTGTATAATTGCCTCAAATATGACTTACTGCAGGCCAAATATTTCCATAATAAAACATTGCTTATGCAGAATAGTATTATATACCTGCCAAGATGCAGGGGGCAGGAAGCTAGAACTCGTGGCTGGATCTGGGACTCCAATTCCCAGAATCCTCGGGAGTGTGACGTCAGTGGCACAAGTGGTTGAACGCGGAAGTAGAAACATTTGTTTACATGCAGGCAGAGGAAATCGAGTTTGTTCACGGGAATATATCGTGCAATTAAAGGCTTCAAGCGCTGATTTTACTTCGAGAAGGTAGGACAGGGAGGCAGGTACTTTGGGAATGCCGGGGTCAGCTTGCTCCTGCCTTTTTTGGTGTTTAATTACCCGCCGACCGAGAGACTCTTAGCTGACACACAAGAAAGGGGTTGTTACCGGAGCTGGCGTAGAACTCGGGACTTCCTCTGGCCCAAAGGATATTAAAAGCTACTCCAGATGAGTACGGAAGGGACACCTGAATGTGTGTCGTGCGGGAGCTGTGGCTCGTTCCAGCGGTGTCTGAACCATGCTCTGAGCTAGCCTGTGTTTCGGGAATGAGGCATTTCTTACGGCTTCTTCCGTATGATGATTCGGTTCCAGAGTCGGAGATTGCAATAGACATTTGCAAGGACAGCACCGGCAGGCAAGCAGCAGCAACATGAAACACAGCAGGAACATGAACGCAGCAATAGCAAGTGAACACAGCAGCAGGCAAGCAGCAGCGACGTAGAGGTAGCTGCGGCAATAGCAGCAGCAAGCAATGCATGGAGAGAGATCTGCAGGTTAAATAGAGCGGCATATTAAGGAGACTCTGTTTGGTTGGTTGTAGAGTGGCAAGGGGCGTTATGTATGAATGCAGCATAAGTGCTCGAGTTGACTGCCTGAACTAGCTCGCAGGCTTCGCCTCATACATGGGCAATCCATTCTGTGAAATAAGCAGTGAATATCTTCTTGTACTGGATACTAGAGACCTTGCAGATGCAACAGTCATTGACACTCTGAACCAGATTGAGAAACTCGGACAGGACGGGTATGACACCTACAGTGGAGGAAATAATTTGATCCCTTGCCGATTTTGTAAATTCACCCACTTACAAATAAATGAACAGTCTATAATTGTAATGGTAGGTGTATTTGAACAGTGAGAGTAAGAATATAAAAAAAAATCCAGAAAATTACATTATATAAAAGATGAACAATTATTTGCATTTAACTGTGGGAAATAAGTATTTGATCCCCTTGCAAAAAACAAGGATTCTGGCTCCCACAGACCGGTTACATAAGTCCATTTCCTTTAGGAAAGTACCCCTCATATCAACTTGTTACCTGTATAAAAGACACCAGTCCACAGAATCAATCAATCAGATTCCAACCTCTCCACCATGGGCAAGACTAAAGAGCTGTCTAAGGACTTCAGGGACAAGATTGTAGACCTGCACTTGGCTGGGATTGGCTACAAAACCATCAGCAAGCAGCTTGGGGAGAAGGTGACAACTGTTGGTGCGATTATTCGGAAATGGAAGGAAAAAGATGGACATCAATCAACAATCAATCACCCTCGGTCTGGGAATCCACACAAGATCTCACTGGCAATGATTCTATATTTATTAGACTATTAAAAAAAAGATCATGCTCCAAATAAGTGGGGGTACGGCTTACCCCCGCGTCCAACGCACACTACACCACTGGTGAAAACTACCCTTGGATGATCGGTTAGTAGACTAAAAGCTTTAGGAATCCAAAGTACAACATATAATAAGTACCCTGTATCAAGATTGATGCCAAAAAAGTTAAATTTGACATTTTTAGAAAGATTTAGCAAAAAAAAAACACTTCTGGGGTCATTTGGGTGGATTTTCCATATCTCTGGCCCCCCTTTGTCGATTTAGCTGATTGACATCTGTTTCTGACCATTAGAGCCAATATAATCGAAGGGGGATTTCCCCACACACACACATGGTAAAACAAAAAGGTGGGGGCTTCGCAGACGCAGTTTTGCATGAGAGTGAAGCTATAGAGCTATAGCTCTAGCTCTGACATCTGGAAACGGAAAAGCAGGTTTATTGCTTATGGATTATCAGAAATAATTCAAAGGGACACAGACACATTGGATTAACCTATGGATTAACTTCAGCAGCGTTTTTATCGTTTTAATGCCTTTGAAGACCACTTTTGACCAGACTATGACACAGGTAAACCATGTTAGCGTTTTTAGCTACCTAGTGCCACATGTTTTGATGTCTGTTCTTGTTATTATCTCCGCGAGTTCGTATAATTGAGTGATGAGGGTACCCTTCAATTCTGTGTCACCTCACGATGTGAAACGAGGTCATGGATGTGCAGAAAATATAAATAATAAGGTTTTGTGAGTGAATTTCGGTGCAGTAATCTGTTAGCATTTTTCGCTCGTTGCTAATTCAGAGGCTCAGCGTTAGCATTGTGGGTTTTATTTAAAAAAAATTAAAATAATGATCAATTAGATGAGTTTTGATTGATTGATTGATTGCAAAGTTTATTAACAGCTTGTATATTGGGTACAGTACAGCTCAAAACATACAATTGTTAAGGGGATGCAGACCAGAGAAAGACTTTTGTCTTGTTTACATCAGGGTCCCCCATTTCCAATTCATCATATCATTTAAGACATATAAGACATATTTGACATACAGATGGCTTATTTACAATTTACATACAGGTGGTTTTTTACATACAGATTGCTTATTTACGATTTTCATTTTAGATTTCGTTCTAATACATCCTAACCGGACATTTAAGACATACCAAGTCGACAGATATACAGTTAGTAACAGAGTCTAAAATGCGAGTATATACATAGATGGGGGGAGGAAGCTGTCCATTGAATGACAGGTTGAGATTTGTACCATTACCGGGGCCAGTTTTGCAATGCTCTCCCCCGAAGGTGCTCTTTAAGAGAGGTTTTGAAGGTAAGTATAGTTTTACTTTCCTTTACAGTTGTGGGAAGAGCGTTCCACCTTGATGTGGCATAATTGCAAAACGTGTATTCCCCCTTTTTTGTGCCAAATCTGGGTTTCACATGATTTGTGGAGCTTCCTCTGGTGTTATGATCATGGTATTCCTTGACCTTTGGGAAGAATTTTGACATGTACATGGGTACCATAGAGGTGTAGTGGATCTTGTAGACCAGGCCCATTGCAAGTAGCTGTACTCTGTCGTCTACTCTAAGCCATCCTAGGTTGTCAAAGTGGGCAGAGGTGAGGTGGGTTCTAGATGAAAGGTCAAGCAGTAGTCTGACCAATTTATTTTGCGATGTTTGAAGTTTTATTTTTAGCGCCTTGGAGGTGCTATGGTACCATGACGTGCAGGCATAGTCATAGTACCCTTGAATGAGTGCTCCTGCCAGAGTTTTCAGGGTGTTCTTGTTTACCAGAGAGGAGATCTGGTATAGGATTCTAGTTCTTTGATTGACTTTTTTTATTACATTGGATGCCACTTTGTCACAGGAGAGGTTTGCCTCAAGAATAGATCCTAGGTATGTAATTTCCTTCTTACTTGTGACAATAATGTCACCCACTGCAACTGAGAAGTCGTCGGATTTGCTGAGATTATGTTTCGAACCGAAGAGAATGGACTCTGTTTTACCCAGGTGTAATGATAATTTATTATCGGCGAGCCAGGTGCAGATTCTGCCGAGCTCGGAGCTGAGGGTTTTTTCAACCTGCAATCTGCTCCTGTCAGAGACCAGCAGGGCTGAGTCGTCCGCGAACAGGAACAAGTTGCAGTCACATGCTGATGACATGTCATTTACATAAATTAGGAACAGTAACGGAGTTTCTTCCCGTTACATGGATATAAAAACATTCATAGTTTATTAAGTTAAGCCCCGAGCCTGTTTTTCAGGTCTCAGGCTAAAAAATGACATTCCCAGAACAAATGACCATATATGTTATATTGCAGGTCTCCCTTCAAAAAGAGATTTATGATCTCAATGGGACCAATCTGATTAAGTTGAAACCTTACAGTACCCGCCCTCTTACGGACGGCTCCAGACATACCTGAAGCCTGAGACTGTTCTCTATCGAAGTCAGATATAAGGGTCTTGTCCACAATGAAGCTGCCTGGGATCCAACACCTCCCCTCTAATCCATACCCTACCCAGTCAACCAAGAACTGTCTACCTCTGCCCCTCTTCCTTTCAGACAGTATTTTGTCCACAGTGTACACTTGACCTCCGTCGACAATCCGGGGAGGTGGAGGGGGCGTGGAGGCGGGGACCAGTCTGCTCTCTTTTACTGGTTTTAACTTGCTTACATGAAACGTGGGGTGGACCTTGATGGACTTTCAAACATCCTGGAGAGTGCATTCCATTCTGCGAACCAGGTCGATATGACAGAGTGAACCTAAATCTATTAAAGAACAAAGCCCATCTGGCCTGCCTAGAGTTCAGACGTTTGACCTTCCTGATGTATTGCAGGTTTTTATGATCCGTCCAGACCAGGAAATCCTGCTCCGCTCCCTCCAACCAGTGCCGCCACTCCTCCAAAGCAATCTTCACAGCCAACAGTTCCCGATTTCCCACGTCGTAATTCCTCTCAGCAGAAGATAGCTTACGGGAGAGATATGCACACGGATGAAGCTTGTTGTCCCCCGCTGACCTCTGGGACAGTATAGCTCCAACGCCGTCGTTGGAGGCATCCACTTCCACCACAAACTGTCGGTGGCGATCAGGTACAGTCAGGATGGGAGCTGTGGTGAACCTCCTCTTCAGTTCCAGGAAAGATTTCTCTGCCTGTGGATTCCACACAAACTGAACATGGGAAGAGGTAAGGACATGGAGAGGAGAGGCAATAGCACTGAAATTGCGTATGAACCGTCTGTAAAAGTTAGCAAACCCCAGGAATTGCTGAACTTTCTTTCTAGAGTCTGGCGTGGGCCACTTAGCCACGTCACTGACCTTAGCTGGGTCCATTTCCACCTTGTTAGGGTAAATCACAAAGCCCAAAAATGCCACGGAGTTCACATGAAACTCGCATTTTTCGGCTTTTACAAACAAATGGTTAGCCAGGAGTCTCTGAAGAACAAGGTGAACATGGTTAACATGAGTTTTCTTATCTGGAGAAAAGATGAGAATATCATTGAGATACACCTTCCGGCGCAGACTGAAAACTCATCTCTTTCGACTCCACTTCGAGCGATAGAACTATTAACAAAGCACTTATATACTAATAAAGGGCTGGCTTATCTAAAGCCAGTTGAGTAGCACTTGAAATGTTTTTTCTCTATGAAGCCTGATGTACTTATATGATTCTGTTTTCTTCAAGTTTGTATTTTGTTGGTCGAACGCACTTATTGTAAGTCGCTTTGGATAAAAGCGTCAGCTAAATGCAATGTAATGTAATGTAATGTAATACACAAAACAGAAAACATTCAGGAAATCTCTTAACACATCATTAATGAGGGCTTGGAAAACAGCAGGTGCATTACAAAGTCCAAAAGGCATCACCAAATATTCGTAATGTCCCGTAGGTGTATTGAAACCTGTTTTCCACTCATCCCCCTCCCGGATGCGCACAAGATGATATTAGGGCTGCACGGTATTGAAAAAAACTGACATCGCGGTTTTTTCCCCCCCTGCGGTATATATCGCGTTTTTTTTAACCTGTTAAACCCCAAAGTCCCGGCGGGTACTTTACTTTTTTTTTTCACGACAGTGTCTCAGGGGATCGTAATATTTAAAAACCTATTAATGTGTTATACCAGATTAACGGAAATAATCTCAGCTAACTGACGATACAAACCATTTTATACCAAAACAAAACACAAGTCTCATAAGAAGCATCTAAATGACCCCTGAGCGAAAAATGCTAACGCACTTTGGCACAGAACTCAAGATAAAAGTACCCTTATTATTACTTATCGTAGCTGCACTTACAAGATATCCGATTAAAGCTGAGGTTCCACAGATTATTTAGGTATATAGTATCATCACTGAGTGATCTGAACTCGGACAGGGGAAGCAAACACAGACATCACAACACGTACCTTTACGTAGCTTCGAGGGGAGATGTCTCACCGTAGCTGTCAATCTGATCAAAAGACGTGTTCAATGGCATTACAACGAGAAAGACAAAACGCGGCTGAATCGGTTAATCCATAGGTTTTTAACGTCTCTGTATAAAAAAATGATTTAATTTATAATCCATAATTCCATTTGTATGTAAATATCGCAGAGCAAAAGTTAGCTGCTAATGGTAGCCACCATAGTGCTGCTGCTTCCGGTCTCGGCTATGCGGAAGTCTCTCACACACACATTACCAAATAAGGACTGTGTGATTTCCCCTTGATTCCATTGGCTCTGACGGTCAGAAAGAGATGTCACATGTCAAAATCCAGCAAGGTGGGCCAGAGATATGGAAAATCCACCCAAATGGCCCCAAAAGAGGGTTTTTTTGGTGCTAAATCTGTCTAAAAAGGTCAAATATCAGGGGAAGTTCTACACACACCAACACATGAACAAATAAGGAGTGAGAGTGACGACGCGTAGCCAAAACCGGAAGCTGCATACCACCAAGGTGGCTACCATTAGCAGCTAACTTTTGTGATCCGATTTTTACATAAAAATTGAATTATGGATTATAAACAATTGCTTCAAAGCCACAGATACATTATCAACCTATGGATCAACCGATTCAGCCGCGTTTTTTCTTTCTCGTTTTATGCCATTGAACACGTCTTTTGATCAGATTGACAGCTACGGTGAGACGATCTCCCGTAAAAGCTCCGTAAAAGGTACGTGTTGTGATTTCTGTGTTTGGTTCCCCTGTTGCGAGATCGGATCGCTTAGATACTATACTTAAATAATCTGTGGAGTCTCAGCTTTAATCGGATATATTGTATGTGCAGTTTCGATAAGTAATAAGGGTATCTTTATTTTGAATTCTGTGCTAAAGTGCGTTAGCATTTTTTTTTTAAATGAATAAAACCGCACGTCCCTGCAGTGTGAATACCGCGCATGCGCATACCGCGGTTATCGCCATGACACGGTATATCGTTCAGCCCTAGATGATATGCATTCCTTAAGTCAAGCTTGGTAAATATCTTGGCTCCCTGTAACAGATCGAATGCCGTAGAGATGAGTGGAAGGGGATATCTGTTCTTAACTGTGATCTGATTAAGTGGACTGTAATCAATACAGGGCCTTAATGAACCGTCCTTTTTCCCTACAAAAAAGAAACCTGCTGCTGCTGGGGATGATGATGGCCGAATCAAGCCAGCTTTGAGTGATGATCCGATATACTCTTCCATGGCCTCCCTTTCAGGACCAGAGAGAGAATACAACCGTCCTTTGGGGATAGTAGAGCCAGAGAGAAGGTCTATGGGGCAATCATACGGTCTATGGGGAGGCAAGGAAGTAGCTCGTGTTTTGTTAAAAACCTCCTTAATGTCAAGGTAACACTCTGGCACTTTGGATAAGTCAGGAAAGTCAGAATGTTCAGAAGAAGTGACACTGTCCCTATCTGACGCCTGTTTAAAGTTCCCAGATCTGTGCGGTCCACTCGAAACTGTATGAGAGGCTAAACATGAACGAGAGCACTCACTCCCCCACCCCTTAACCTTTCCTGTAAGCCAGTCAATGTGAGGGTTATGTTTAACAAGCCAAGGGTAACCCAAAATGAGAGGCTGTTGAGCTGAGTTAAATAAATGAAAGCTAATATGCTCACGGTGCTCCTGATCTATGACAATTTCTATGGGTTCTGTGCGATGAGTAACTGTACATAAAAGGCGGCCATCCAACGCGCTAGCCTCTAATGGCTGATCTAAAAGGACAATGTTTAAGTTCAACTCTTTAGCCAGCTCCCAGTCTAACAAGCTCTCATCAGCCCCAGAATGAATGAATGCATCCTGAGTCACAGTCTTATCATTCAGTTTCATTTGTACCTCAGTCAGTCTTCTCGAGGAAGGGTCGAAAGAAGTCACTCGGCTCACCAGCGTCCCTCTTCCCGCTGATGAGCCTGATCTTTTGCCGGACAGGCTGCCAGAACATGCTGGCCGCAGTAGAAACACAGCCGCTCCCGCTGACGCTCCTCCGGGGTGAGTTTGGCTCTTCCGAGCTGCATCTGTTCCTCCGCGGCGCTAGGGGCCGCTGGTCGCTCTGGAGACGAAGTCCGGGTATTACTCCGCCAACCGTAGTGTTCCCTCTGTAACTCCCGTCCGAACAGTGGAGTGGAAGCTGCGTTCTCCCCTCTCTCCCGACGTCTCTCTGCTAGACGTTGGTCCACCCGGATAGCCATGGCGATGAGCGAGTCCAATTCTACAGGCAACTCTAATGGAGCTAACTGATCCTTTATGGGATCCGCTAATCCATGCAGAAACGCATCAAAAAGAGCCGCTGAGTTCCATCCACTCTCCGCTGCCAGGGTCCGGAATTCGATCGCGTAATTCGCCACTCTCCTCTGCCGTTGTTTGATGTTCACCAGGGCTCTCGCTGACTCTCTCCCGGGTGCTGTCTGGTCAAAAATGTTTTTCATAGAATCCATGAATAACCTAAACGACTGGCAAACAGGCGAGTCTCGGGCCCATTCTGCTGTTGCCCAGGCTCCCGCTCTTCCCGTCAAGTGAGATACTATGAAAGCTACCTTAGCTTGATCTGTGGGAAATGGCTGATGTTTGAAATGGAGATCGCACTGTATCAGGAATGGACGACAGTTTCCAGAATCCCCGGAGAACTTCTCCGGTGAAGCGAGGCGGAGTGAAGACGATGGCATGGGTATTTGAACGGGGATCTCAGCAAACCCGACCTCCGCTGGACCGGAAAACTCTGCCGCAGGAACAGCAGGACGTGCCTCGAGGTGCGTAAGTATGTCACGCATTTTCTCCGCCAGGTGATTTATTTCCGTTGTCACTGTTGACTGGAAGTGGTGCTGACGGGCATTTAAGTCCTGAACCCCCTGATTTATTGTTGTCAGCGGTTCCTCATGTTGATACAGGCGTGTTCCTTGCGCCTGCAAAGCCGTCTTTAACACGGTGGAATCGGCTGTGTCCATCTTGTTTGGTCGGTTCGTTCTGACACGAAGGACTCACAAAGACTGAGATGCACGATTCTTTCTTGATTTCAAAAAGTACCTTTTAATATACAAAAGGGTTTTAGGATCAACTAGGACACTCAAAAGTTCGCTAGGTTCAACTAATAGTACCAAAAGACTTTACAAAGAAAAAGGTTTCTAGGATCTACTAGGATACTCAATAGTTCACTAGGTTCGACTAGTATGCTCAAGGTTTACACGAGGGAGTACAGACATGGACTTGGTTTAGAGACAAGACGAACCGACAAAAGACAACAGGAGAACAGGGCTACATATGCACAACAGTTAATGAGGCACAGGTGCAAACAATCCAGAACAGGAGATCACAATCAAGCTGGCAAGTGACACACCACGACAGGAAGTGATGACACCTGAAACGAGAGGACAGAGCCAACATCAAAATAAACTGCAAGGCCACCAGAATAAACACAAAACAATAAGCTCACAGACTCTAACGCTGAAACCTTACAGTCAGAATCAATATAGATGTTTTTATTTTAAAGTAAATTCAGATTGAACACAGTAAACAAATGTTAATTATTGTGTCCGTCCAAACGTTTTTTTTTACTTATAGTAAAAACCACCCTTGAATGATGGGATGGTAGACTAAAAGCTTTAGGAATCCAAACTACAACATATAATAAGTACCCTGTATCAAGATTGATGCAAAACAAGTGAAATTTGACCTTTTTAGAGAGATTTAGCAAAAAAAAAAACACTTCTGGGGTCATTTGGGTGAATTTGACCTATCTCTGGCCCCCCTTGCTCGATTTTGCTGATTGACATCTCTTTCTAACCGTCAGAGCCAATGGAATCAAGGGGAACTCCCACATACTCCTTATTTGGTAATGTGTGTGTGTGAGACTGCCGCATAGCCAAGACCGGAAGCTGCGATAACTCTGGAGGCTACCATTATTAGCTAACTTTTACTCTCCGATTTTTACATAAAAATGGAATTATGGATTCCATCCATCCATCTTCTCCCGCTTATCCGTGGTCGGGTCGCGGGGGTAGCAGTTCCAGCAGAGAGCCCCAAACTTTCTTTTCCCTGGCGACATCAACCAGCTCTGACTGGGGGATCCCAAGGCGCTCCCAGGCCAGCGAAGAGATATAATCCCTCCACCTGGTCCTAGGTCTACCCCTTGGTCTCTTCCCAGCTGGACGTGCCTGGAACACCTCCCTAGGGAGGCGCCCAGGTGGCATCCTAACTAGGTGCCCGAACCACCTCAACTGGCTCCTTTCGACGCGAAGGAGGAGCGGCTCAACTCCGAGTCCCTCCCTGATGACCGAACTTCTCACCTTATCCCTAAGGGAGACACCAGCCACCCTGCGGAGAAAACCCATCTCGGCCGCTTGTATCCGCGATCTCGTTCTTTCGGTCATGACCCATCCTTCATGACCATAGGTGAGGGTAGGAACGAAAATGGCCCGGAAGACCGAGAGCTTTGCCTTCTGGCTCAGCTCCCTTTTCGTCACAACGGTGCGGTAAAGCGACTGCAGTACCGCTCCCGCTGCTCCGATTCTCCGGCCCATCTCACGCTCCATTGTTCCCTCACTCGAGAACAAGACCCCGAGATACTTGAACTCCTTCACTTGGGGTAAGGACTCATTCCCTACCTGGAGTGGACAGTCCATCGGTTTCCTGCTGAGAACCATGGCCTCAGATTTGGAGGTGCTGATCCTCATCCCAGCCGCTTCACACTCGGTTGCGAACCGATCCAGTGAGTGCTGAAGGTCGCAGACCGATGAAGCCATTAGAACCACATCATCTGCAAAAAGCAGTGGTGCAATCCTTAGTCCACCGAACTGCAGACCCCCTCCCCCATGACTACGCCTCGAAATCCGATCCATGTATATTACAAACAGGATTGGTGACAAAGCGCAGCCCTGGCGGAGGCCAACCCTCACCGGAAATGGGTCCGACTTACTGCCGAGGACCCGGACACAGCTCTCGCTTTGGGAGTACAGAGATTGGATGGCCCTGAGTAGAGACCCCCTCACCCCATACTCCCGCAGCACCTCCCACAGTAACTCCCTGGGAACTCGGTCATACGCCTTCTCCAAGTCTACAAAACACATGTAGACCGGATAAGCGTACTCCCAGGCCCCCTCCAGGATCCTTGCGAGAGTAAAAAGCTGATCCGTCGTTCCACGACCAGGACGGAATCCGCATTGTTCCTCCTCAATCTGAGGTTCGACAATCGGCCTGACCCTCCTTTCGAGTACCTTAGAGTAAACTTTCCCGGGGAGGCTGAGTAGTGTGATGCCTCTGTAATTGGCACACACCCTCTGATCCCCCTTTTTAAATAGGGGAACCACCACCCCGGTCTGCCACTCCTTCGGTACTGTTTCCGACTTCCACGCAACGTTGATGAGACGTGTCAACCATGACAGTCCCTCAACACCCAGAGCCTTCAGCATTTCCGGGCGGATCTCATCCACCCCCCGGGGCTTTGCCACTGTGGAGTTGTTTGACGACCTCAGTGACCTCCCCCCGGGAGATTGGTGTTGATCCCCCGTCATACTCCAGCTCTGCCTCTAACATAGAGGGCGGAGTTGTCGGGTTCAGGAGTTCCTCAAAGTGTTCCTTCCAACGCCCTAACACTCCATCAGTTGAGGTCAACAACGTCCCATCCTTACTGTACACAGCTTGGATGGTTCCCTGCTTCCCCCTCCTGAGGTGTCGGACAGTTTTCCAGAACAACTTTGGTGCCGCCCGAAAGTCCTTCTCCATGTCTTCTCCGAACTTCTCCCACACCCGCTGCTTTGCCTCGGCCACGGATGAGGCTGCTGCCCTTCGGGCCTGTCGGTACCTTGCAACTGCCTCGGGAGTCCCCCGGGATAACAAATCCCTGAAGGCCTCCTTCTTCAGTCGGACGGCTTCCCTGACCACCGGTGTCCACCAGGAGGTTCGAGGGTTACCGCCCCTTGAGGCACCTAGGACCTTGAGACCACAGCTCCCCGCCGCGGCTTCGGCAATAGAGGCTTTGAACACCGACCACTCTGGTTCAATGTCCCCAACCTCCACAGGAATGCCCGAAAAGCTCCGCCGGAGGTGTGAGTTGAAGGCCTCCTGAACTTGGGCCTCCTCCAGACGTTCCCAGTTCACCCGAACTACACGTTTGGGCTTACCAGGTCTATCCAGAGGCTTCCCCCGCCACTCGACCCAACTCACCACCAGATGGTGATCAGTTGACAACTCCGCCCCTCTCTTTACCCGAGTGTCCAAAACATACGGCCTCAGGTCCGATGATACGATAACGAAATCGATCATGGACCTTCTGCCTAGGGTGCTCTGGTACCACGTACACTTATGAGCATCCTTATGTTCGAACATGGTGTTTGTTATGGCCAATCCATGACTAGCACAGAAGTCCAGTAACAAACCACCACTCCGGTTCAGATCAGGGGGGCCGTTCCTCCCAATCACGCCCCTCCAAGTGTCTCCATCATTGCCCACATGTGCGTTGAAGTCTCCCAGCAAGATTAAAGAGTCCCCTTCAGGAGCCCCATACAGGACTCTTTCCAGGGTCTCCAAGAAGGCCGTATACTCTGAACTGCTGTTGGGTGCATAAGCACACACAACAGTCAGAGTTTTCCCCCCCATAACCCGCAGGCGTAGGGAGGCGACCCTCTCGTCCACTGGGGTAAACTCCAACAAAGAAGCACCTAACCGGGGACTTGTGAGTATCCCCACACCCGCCCGGCGCCTCACACCTTGAGCAACTCCGGAGAAGAATAGAGTCCAACCCCTATCCAGAAGTAAGGTTCCAGAGCCGACGCTGTGCGTAGAGGTGAGCCCAACCAGATCCAACTGGTAACGCTCCACCTCCCGCACAAGCTCCGGCTCCTTCCCCCCCAGAGAGGTGACGTTCCACGTCCCCAAAGCCAGCTTCTGTCGCCCGGGTCTGGTCCGTCGAGACCCTCCGCTTTCACTGCCACCCTTCTGGCAGCGCACCCGACCCCATTGATGTTTCCCGTAGGTGGTGGGCCCGCGGGACGGAGAAGCGGAGGTGTTGCCCACGTTGCCTTTTCGGGCTGGGCCCGGCCGGGCTCCGTGGCAAGCCCGGCCACCAGACGCTCGCCGACGAGTCCTCCTTCTGGGCCTGGCTCCAGAAGGGGACCCCGGGCTTCCTCCGGGCCGGGTATCCTCACTTCTTGTATCGTCTTTCATGAGGTCTTTTGAACCAATCTTAGTCTGGCCCCTTGCCTGAGACCAATTTGCCATGGGAAACCCTACCAGGAACACAAGGTTCCAGACAACACAGCCCCCAGGTTCATCAGGGCACACAAACCTCTCTACCACGGTAAGGTGCTGGTTCTTCAGAGAGGGGAATTATGGATTATAATATAATATATTTTTTTTTTTTTTTTTTTTTTTTTTTTAAATTTATTTTGGAATTATGGATTATAAATTAAAAAAATTATAACACAGAAACATTATCAACCTATGGATTAACCGATTCAGCTGCGTCTTTTCTCGTTTTAATGCCATTGAACAAGTCTTTTGATCAGATTGACAGCTACGGTGAGAGGATCTCCCGTAAAAGCTACGTAAAGGTACGTGTTGTGATGTCTGTGTTTGCTTCCCCTGTCGCGAGTTCGGATCACTCAGTGATGATATATAATAATCTGTGGAACCTCAGCTTTAATCGGATATATTGTATGTGCAGCTACGATAAGTAATAAGGGTATCTTTTATCTTGAGTTCTGCGCCAAAGTGTGTTAGCATTACGGTACCGGGGTCTCTCGGGCTTAACAGGTTAACTGAATAATGGTCATGTTTACATGGATTTATGAACTGCCCCTAATTACCGCCCCCCTTCCAGAGACACACTGTCAAACACACTCATACCTGCTTCGTATGACATTGCAAAAGTTACATTAAATAAAAAATTAATTTCAATAAAATGACTGTTGTTTAATCTTCACATCTTGTAATCATGTCTTTAATTTTGAGCACCAAATTATTGAAAAGTATCGATAAGAGTATCGAAAAATACCGGTATCGATAAGCAGTATCGGTATTGATAACATCCTAACGATACCCATCCCTACTAGGAGCAGTGTTGGGTGTAACGCGTTACAAAAGTATACAGAGTTACAGTAATGTACTACTTTTTGCTGTAACGAAGTAATGTAAAGCATTACTAATGAATTTTGCGTATTATATTACCCATTACAATGCTCAGTAAGTAACGCAGTAACAAGTTACAACACATTTTAATCCAAAATGAAATGGTGTTTTGTTTTTTAAGTATTCACTAACATCGCGAGACATTCCGACACCAGAGAAAAATTGTGGGGGTAGATTAGTAAAACTGGTGCAGGGGTCTCCAACACGTCGATCCGCGAGCTACCGGTAGATTTTTATCAATTATTGGATTGCAGAGTATGAATGTCCTTTTGCTATTTTCAGACGATAAATACGTGTGTATAGTTTGTGAAGGCAGGAGGAAAAGTATCTCCTCTGCTCTGTTCCTCCAAACCCCACCCCCTCCCTGAAAATAAGGAGTGACAGGCTGATAGTAACCTGATAGATAAGTTATTATTCACTTAATCACTGATTGAGATATGATGAAGCTAATCTCATACATTCTTGGGATTTATGTAACAGTAAAACAGAGAATAAGTGTGCACCCAAATGCAGTATTTTTGTTTTGATATGCTGTTGTAAATACTCCTGTTGTCTGCTGTGTTCAGACTAAAGTCCTGTTAGTGATGCCACATTCAGGACATTCGGTGTCCTTTTTTCGAGCAGAGGACCGTTGCTAGAAGCTGCAGCTAGACTGCAGGAGTATTCGTTTTTAGTTTTTGAAGATGGAACAATTTCACACAGATATATGGAGGCTAGACCTATACACTTATTTATCTGACGTCCAGCACTCTGTCTTTTAACCTATTTTCCTTTCTCTTTGTTGATCCTCCTTAGTAACCTTCATTATAGTCCTTGACAGTGGTCTGTACTACTGTATTAACAACGTGTCACATGTTAAGAATTTACAATCAGAATCGAGTATTCAACTAAGCCGTGCAAAAGTTGTTAGTAGCCTTAATGGCCTACACAGTTGTTATGCTATACCACATTGCCCTTCACTGGATGTAATGAGCTGCACTAAACTACATTTTAGCATTTCAAATACCTATCCATTCTTTTAAGGTTATTTTGGTGAAAGTAACTCAAAAGTAATATAAAAGTAGTGTAACTCATTACATTTCAGAGACAGTAATATTGTAATGTAACTTATTACTTAAAAAAGACAGTAATAAGACATGTACTGTTTTACATTTTGGAAGTAACTTGCCCAACACTGACTAGCAGCAGTAGCAGGTCATCACCTAACTATTGCCAACTTCCTGGATATCTTGTAGCAGCACATTACTGCCAACAACAGCGGGCAACAGTAGAGACAGTTTTAATTTATACCGTCTGTACTGCCATATAAATGTATGAAACAATGCTGCATGATTCTAAGAGATTTATTTCATGGTGCTTGAGTGCAGGAGAACTCAAATATGCACCTCTCATTTGATAACGATTTGGTAGTCAGAGAGGCATCTCATTCAGAAATCAGACATTCATATTTGTTAACAGCATACACAGTGGATCATTTCTCATACTGATGCAACTGCACTCATTGTTTGTGTCATTGAAGCTGGGAGTAGTTGGTCCCTTTGTCACATTTAACAAAAATGTTTCAACAATAGTATTTCATTTAGTTGTGGGTCATTTTAACAGTTCCTATACACCTACTAAAGGACCAGCCTGTGAGGACTGTGGATACAGCCCCTCTGGCCCAATGTAGTTGGAACCGAGTGGGCCTGTTTTCTTTTCTCACCCCCTAATCTATGGGCATAGATATGTCTCATAATTATTTGTGTGAACATAAAAATAATTTGTGTGTAAATATGTGATTTGTAAATGTAAAACAACATCCACAAATGCATTTAAAAGATTTGCAAACTCACAAATACATTTGCAAGTGTAAAACGGATCTGCAAATACGCTAAATATGTTCACAAATAAAAAAAAGATCTGTGAATATCTCTTTAACATTTACACTTTTCGATCAGGCATTTGTGAATCCAATTTGTATTTGTGGACCAAAAATGCGCTTGCGGATCTCAAATCTCTGTTCGCGGATCGTCTTTTTACACACACGGAATTTTGAGACATATTTTCCGCCGGTCTCGGCTAAAATCTACTCGTGTCACTCGGTTATTTTCGGAAACCACGTGATGGCCTGCTGATGGCGACATTTCCGCATGATTTCAAAGTAAGAGCATGATGGTTTGTTTAATGCTCTGTTTTTGTATTATAATGAACAGCGGAACGTTAGATGCATTCTTCATCACCATCACCATCATCATCATGTTATAGTGATACAGTTAGTTTGTGTTATTGATTCAATATAGCATATATCGAGCACTTTCGTTGATGTTGAAGTGCAGGCTATACGCCACTTTCGGATCCCGGGGGAGCAGCTCCGGGGGAGCAGCTGGCAGCGAAACAGCTCAGAAATCATGCGGAAATGTCGCCATCAGCAGGCCATCACGTGGTTTCCGAAAATAACCGAGTGACACGAGTAGATTTTAGCCGAGACCGGCGGAAAATATGTCTCAAAATTCCGAGATTTGAGATCCGTGAACAGAGATTTGAGATCCGCAAGCGCATTTTTGGTCCACAAATACAAATTGGATTCACAAATGCCTGATCGAAAGGTGTAAATGTTAAAGAGATATTCACAGATCTTTTTTTTATTTGTGAACATATTTAGCTTATTTTCAGATCCGTTTTACACTTGCAAATGTATTTGTGAGTTTGCAAATCTTTTAAATGCATTTGTGGATGTTGTTTTACATTTACAAATCACATATTTACACACAAATAATTTTTATGTTCACACAAATAATTATGAGACATATCTATGCCCATACTAATCCCACCAGGAGCGTCTGCGCTGCGTTGCGGCTGCGGCGTTTTTAGCGATCGCGGCCACTCTAGTCAATGGGTGCTATTCCACCAGACACGCTGCGCCGCGGCTCGAAGCGTCCCAGAAGCTCCTCGCCGCAAGGAATTTCTAAAATATAGGATGAATCCTATTTTTGACGCGGCGCAGCGCGGCGCAGGCAGGAAGTGGAACGTTCATCCGGCCCAGGCCCATCCCCCAAATAAACTCGTGTTGCAGACCCCCTTTCACAACACGACACCCAAAATGGACGAAGAGCGTTTCATCATCGAAGTGGAAAAACACACTATTTTGTATGACATAACCCATCAATACTACAAAGACAACGTCAGAAAGCACAAGGTCTGGTGTTTAGTCGGTGGAGTTATTGGAGTGGAAGGTAAATATTAATGTTTTAAAGTTAATGAATACTTGTATGTACAGTACAGAGCCATTCAGTAGTTTAACATGTTGTGAAAGTCATTAAAAAAATTAGTAAACTTGCACTTCACAAGAAAGTAAGATCTTATTTCCTATATCCAAATATAAACATATATATATATATTTATATATGTATATATACTGTATATATATTATATGATTTTGTATTTATATTGTGTTTGAAATTCCACAGCTTAAAACAAAGTTGTTATTTAATAAAGAGTTATTGCATTTAACAGAATCAATCATGCATACAGATGAGACACAGGATTGAAGCCAATACACATGGGGCAGACAGAAGGGGAAGCATCATGTTAATTACAACCCCCAACATCCATATGATAATTGCCTGACAATGGTCAGAGCGACACCCTTCTGTCTGAGAACATTTTGTAGAAACCTACATTCATAAATTCCCATCATATATATTGTTATATACTGTTTTTTTAACTATACTTTAGCTTGTGAATTTTGCCCAGGGATCAATAATTTTGTTTAACCCATTATAATGATAATATATTTTAATATTCAATTGATTTTGTATTAATTTTAAAGTATAGCTATCAGAAAAATGTAAAATTAAGAAATAATATTTCCCTCTGAGGTGTATTGTAGTAAAACAGGAAATTGTATTTCACAAGTGCCATTGTACAATAGTACAGTAATTCATCAAATATAGGGCTACTACATTTTGATTTGTAATATTTTTTTACATCATTGAAAAAACAACTACCCATAGTATAACCTTGTATTTATAGTCAGATAAATTGTGAGGACAGACAAGAATAATTTGGCAGTCATTTGTCAGACAAAACTATTTATTATGAAATGTATTATCAAAAAAATACATAATAACATAGGATATTAAAAATAAAGAACAGTTTTTTACAAATGCAACAATAACCTGTCTTTGGGAGTACAACAACTAATACTTTTTTGCTTTTTCAAATTCTCTGGAATGAAAAAACACATCTTTTAATCATTTTGTCAGTGTAGTAACTTTTGTGTGTTCCAGTAATCACACCATCATGTCCTGCCAAGACACACTGCCCTCAGGAGAGTTGAAGAATGTGCAGAAAGCCTCCCTCACATTACAGGCCTCTCTTGATGCCCTGTTTCCTCCCATGTTTCTCACTGGTGCCATGTGTCTCCCCTGCTGCTCTTCCTCATCCAGCAACCTCTGGTTTTCACTAGGGGCCAGCAGGAAGTTGTGTAGGATGCATGCAGCCACCACAAGCTTGTCCACGTTTTTCGGGTGCAGGTTGATGCGACGATGGAAGATTCTCCACCTGGAAGCAAGAATGCCGAAGGCATTTTCCACCACCATCCTTGCTCTGAAAGTCTGTAGTTTAAAATCCTCTTTTGTTGAGTGAGGTTCTTTCCAGGGTATGGTCTCATCAGGTATGGCTTGAGTGGGAAAGCTGCGTCACCCACCATGACGAATGGCATCTCACCCAGGTGAGCAGCACCAGGTAGAGAGGTACTGGTTGGAACATGAAGTGTTCTGGCCTCCAGTCCTTTCCCCAAATCCGATCCGGCATACACCCCACCATCACATGTTCTTCCGAAGTCCCCCACTTGAATCACTCGGAACCTGTAGTCAGCATCAACAAGTGCCAAAAGCACTATGGAAAAAGTCTTCTTATAATTGAAGTACTGACTCCCAGACAGTGGTGGTGCTTGGATGACGATGTGCTTTCCGTCTATTGCTCCCAAGCAATTTGGGAAATTCAATTTTTCCCAGAATCCTTGTGCAACCTCCTTCCACGTGTCTTCTGTTGGCCTGGGTAGGAACCTCTCCATCATCATTTTTTCAATGGCTGCACACACCAAATGGACAGCGTCTCTCACAGTAGTGCATCCTAGGCGATAGCTGAATGCTAGGCTGACCAGTGAGTCCCCGGAAGCCAAGTATCTGTGAAGGGAAAAACAAGCAAAGAATTAATAAGTGATATCATTTTATTAATCGGAATCTATTCTTTTTTTCAGTCGAGGTTTGCAAGGCGAAATGGAAGTCACTGAGGGATGCTTTCGTCAAAACCCGGAAGAAGTCCATCCCAAGTGGATCTGCAGGTGGCTCGCAGAAGGCCTGGAAGTATTCAGACATAATGTCCTTCATTTTGCCATATATACAGCAAAGGAGGTATGTATGCACATTTTTTTATTTATATAATTTTGTAACTTTGTAATTTGTCATGATGTATTGCAAAGGGTATGAAAGAGTTTATTTGAAATTACATAAATATGTTCATATTGCATAAATTAATCCCAGGAAAAAATATTTTAATTGATTTCATGTTGTTGTTTCTTTTAATATAGTTCTACAAGCAGCTTGGGAAATCCTTCCCCATTAGAAGAGATAGAAAGAGCATCTACACCAGGAGCAGCATCTGGATATTCAGGCCCACGCACACCCACACCACCTACACCCACACCATCTACAGCCCCACCACCTCTGGTACCCACAACCTCTGCAGAGAGGAGGCCCTCTAGGTCCCGTAGCCCCCAGGGATCCACACCAGCAGCGGCGGCCCAGCATTCCACAAAGAGGAGGCCACAGAGCACAGACCTTGGGGAGCAACTCATTTCTCTACTGCAGGAACCTCCAGCCACACCACATATGCCAGACTCACCACTTGAAGAGTCATACTACTTTGCTCTGAGTCTGGTGCCTATGCTACAAAGGCTGGACATAGACAGGAAACATCGGGCAAAAATAGCTATTTTAAACACCTTCCATAGTCTTGAAAGAGAGAGTACACAACCACAGGAACATTGGCAGCCAATTTTCCATCCCCCCACGTCACAACACTCCACTCACACCTCCAGGCCAGTAGCCCTTCGGCCAACTGCACCCCAACCCCCACAAGCCCAATCAACAGGGCCATTCGCAAACATGCTGTTCTCCAACAGTGGCTCTTCATGGCAGGATGGGTCTCAATATGAAGACTTGTAATACATATTGTTTTTACTGTAAATAGTTCCTTTTTTGTGTTGATTTGCTGTTATTTGATGTTGGTGTTTAAAATGATGTTTTGGGTGATATGTTTCTAATTAAAACGTTTATTATACTTGTGGTCAGTGATTTATTGTCTGTGAAATGTGCATCTTAGTGCAACAGCCAGTCTCTGCTTGGGTTCTATGGCAGCTCTGAAATTTGTGGATTGTCTGGTCAGTTCAGGGCCCAGGAGGCACAGAAGTTCATCCATCTGCTCTGCACTCATCCGAAAATATTGGTGATGTCGTTGGCTGTCCAGCCTCAGCTCAGCCACGAGGTGATGAAAATCACCTTGTTGTCTCCTTTGCTGGTTGAGGGGGTGCACCTAAAACCAGCTCCTTCTCCTCCCCCCACCCCCCCGTAGTCTTTCAAGTAGGAGAATACATGCCAGCGTTCTCCTCCGGTTTACAGGCACTGTAAATTATATATATATAGAATAATTATGATGATGAATGCATATTTTTTTACCACTAAAATACAGCAACGCATCTTTGATTCATGTCGTTTATAACTGGAATATTACAATTATTATTAACTGTGTCTGTAGTCTACAACACAACAAAATAGGAAATAACAACAATAAACACGATTTAAACAGACACAAACATAAACCATTTAACTACGTAGCCTACTTACTTGTAGAAGTACAAATGTCCAGGAAATATTCCAAAATCAACAACAACTGCGAGGCTGCACACACGACGCTCCGCTTCCGCAACGTTTTGAAACGCGCCTGGTGGGTTATGACGCAGGATGAGGTCGCAGCGCGGCGCAGCCGCAGCGCAACGCAGCGCAGACGCTTCCGGTGGGATCAGGGGGTCAGGGTTATGAGTTTTCTCATTATTTATGTTTTGTTTTCTAGGCGAGGACAATGGGAAAAGTGTATACTGCCTTGCACACTGAGATAAGATTCTGAAGAAGCTATTCTTTTCTTTTGGTTTGGTATGAGCGGTTTGTGTTAAAAATAAATAATGATTAATAATGGGGTTGATAATAAACTGGGATTACAATGAAGTCGATCCAGTAGCTCAAAAGTCATAAAATAATTACTTTTAATCAAATATAGTTATTAAATATTAGGACTGCTTCTATATTAAAGCACCTGAATGGGGCACCATATTTGTGTAAATTAAAACAAAATCAGTTAATTGTTTACTTGTCCTTGTAAAGTTACTGTAAGTTAAATGCTTTGCCCAGTTAAACCAGTAGAAAGAGGTGACTTAGCTTCTTAGCTTATGAATCTGTGGAGATGATAAGAAGCCGGACTCACTTTGTTGTTGCTGCATGATGTCAGTTAAGTCTTTGGTGATTTTAACAGCTTGTTCAAATGTTGAAAGGGTGATGAAGCCGGCCTCTGTGGTTGTTATCTTGCAGAGTAGCCTACAGTTAGCTTGTTGCTAACTATTCATTGGTTCTAAGGTCAGGTGTAGCTGCTGCATGCTAACTTAATGACTAAATGTGAATCTTTTAGGCAAGTGGTAGTATCTTGTGTTCATTTAATTTAATTTCAAACCTTTGTTTAACCAGATTGGTCCCATTGAGATCATAGATCTCTTTTTCAAGGGAGACCTGCAGCATATAGGTTCCACATGAAACATAAAACAATAAAAGACATCATACATTATATTTACAGGATACATTTACATAGTTATAGATATTTACAAGTGCCCATAGTATCAACGAGCATTTCATTTAGCCTAGCTTTAAAGACATACAGAGGAATGAGATTGCTCAGTTGCAATTCTTGTTGAAGACTGTTCCAAGCAAGTGGAGCTGCGCACATAAAAGCTGTCTTACCTAAGACAGTCCTTGCTCTTGGCACATTTAAAAATACTACATCATGCGATCTCAGACAATAGCTGCTTGCAACTCTCTGTGTTATCAGAGTGCAGATATAATACGGGAGTTTACCCAACAAAGCTTTATAAATAAACGTGTACCAATGACTGAGCCTCTTTACAGTAAGTGATGGCAAACCTGCCTTGGCATACAGGGTACAGTGATGAGTAAGTGCTTTACAATTTGTGACAAATCTCAGTGCGCTGTGATAGGCGGCATCTAACTTGTTCAGGCAATAGGCAGGTGCATTCATATACAACAAATCACCATAGTCCAGCACAGGTAAAAAGGTCACAGTGACTAGCCTTTTCCTGGCCTCAAGCGAGAAACAGGACTTGTTTCTGAAAAAGAAACCTAGCCTAACCCTCAGCTTTTTAAGCAGGTTATTGACATGAAGTTTAAAAGTAAGACAATCATCAATTTAAAAGAAGCTTAAGCTCAGAGAGCTGAGTCTGAATAATGTTAAAAACAGCCTGTAATTTAACACCAGCCTCCTTAATGGAGGGACCTGCACAGTACATCACGGTATCGTCCGCATAGAAATGTAAAGTAGCTTCATTCACATTTTCACCTAAACTGTTGATATATATGGAGAACAAAAGTGGACCTAAAACAGAACCTTGAGGAACACCATTAGCAATGTTTAACCACTCAGAAGACAGCCCATCAAAAGTGAACACATTGGGACCTTTCAAAGAGGTAGTTCACAAAACCACCAGGGGCGGACTGGCCATCTGTAGAATCTGGAGAACCACAGAACGGCCGGCCGTCAAGGTCCGTTGACGGCCGGCCGGCCCTTTAAAAAAAAAAAAATAGTTTAACGTCATCATTTAAATTGCACTGACGGCCGACAGAGGGCGCTAATGCAGTTGTGTGGTTCTTATCTGTCAAATAATCACACACGAAGAAGAAAAAAAGACCGGCCACACGAAGCGAAGGGATTAGACGCCGCGGCAGACAGGGAGAATGAAAAACATGGATACAAATCAAAGAAAACAAAAAGAAAAAGGTGGGGCCGAGAAGGCAAGAGAGAAAAAGGTGAAGTCACTCGCAGGTGAAGCATATCAATGTCGCAAATTGACAGACCTTTTTGGCAGCAGCGCTGCTACAAGCACTATCATCAGCAGCTTAGAACAAGTGCAAGATGATGATGAGAATGATGAGGGCGCGAGTTCAGATATACAGCCAGCCTCCTGCGTTCATGATGAGGGACAGAGAGTTGAGCTGGTGGAAGAACCATCTCAACTGGCACATACAAGTGCAGAGCAAGAGCAAGAGGTGGGTGAGAATTATCCCTTGAACTCAGTGGCGTTTTCTCCTGGAGGCCAAGGGAAGCCAGGCTTCCCCTGTTTTTTTGGATTGTAGTTATAATTTTAATAAATAAATAAAAACACTTTGTTTAGTTTCGGTAATTATTCTGCCGGCCCATCTCTCCCCCATTCTCATTGAGTATTTTACAAAGAGTGAAACAGCGCCCCTCTAGATGTTATGATGAAACAGTATTGCACTCTCTGTTGCGAGAGGAGGCTAGCCAAAATTGGCTTCCCTTGTTGAAAAGAAATTGAGGGATTGACCAATCAGATGAGGCTCACTCATGCCTCACAATCCAATCAAATCGCATCAACTTCAGTTCGTACTGTAACTGTCATCACCACCCTTAAAAAGTAGTAAGCAACTGAAGCAATTGCAATTATGGAGGGTGGAGAATTTCATCAAAAAATAATTGTACTAAACTTCTGCTACAGCAGCAACTAAAAATGAAATCTGATGACAGGCCAATGCCCAAACTGGAGCTGTGTACAGAGAGGAAAAAAGGAGCGAATCGGACGTAAAACTTTAAATAATAAACAGCGAATTTCTAACATTTGATATTTCATGTGGCCGGACTGGGTCAGTTTCCAGGGCTGAATTTTAGTCCCAGTCCGCCCCTGCAAACCACCCCACCGCATGGCTGGATATGCCAATACTGAGTAGCCTCTGCTTTAAGATGCGATGATCGACGGTATCAAACGCTTTGGAAAGGTCAATAAATAGAGCTGCACAACTCTGCTTATTATCTAAAATACTCGTAATGTCATTCACCACTTTCATTGTCGCAGTGATGGTGCTGTGTTGCTTTCTGAAGCCTGACTGATGTTTAGACAGGATATCATTTTCACATAAAAACACCTTTACTTGTTCACTCACTAGGCGTTCGAGCACCTTCGCCAGAACTGACAATTTAGAGATTGGCCTATAGTTATTTAAAATAGTTGCCTCCCCTCCTTTTAGTAAAGGCAAGACATAAGCTGACTTCCATACTTTTGGAATTGCATTTGTGCTGAGGGAGAGGTTAAAAAGAGTAGTGAGAGGAGGAGCAATACAATCTGCAGCTATCTTTAAAATGAAAGGTTCTACGTTGTCCGGGCCAGCCGGTTTCTTAGGATCTAGCTTGGTTAAGGCTTCATGAACAACATTAACAGTAAAAGGAGTAAAACTAAAAGGGTTTTCCAAAACACGTTTTTCAGAGTCACGGATTGGGGTGTTCACAGAAGCAGAGTTAGAAACAGAATCAAACAGAGAACCACAGGACACAAAATGCTTATTAAAGCAATTTAACATGGTGGCCCTGTCTGATATAGAGCCAGATGCTGTGGTAAGGCAAGGAGGTAGCTCATTACGGATATCACCGGTGGATATCGATTTTATGGCTTTCCAAAATTTCCTAGGATTATTTAGGTTTTCTGTGGTAACTGACAAATAGTACTGAGCACTTTTGACATGTGAAGTGAAGCTATTCCTTAGATGCCTAAAACACAGCCATTCTACCTCTGAGCCTGATTTCCTAGCCTTTGCCTAGGCCTTATTTCTCTCATGAAGGAGACTAGACAGTTCAGCAGAAAACCAAGGGTTGTCTCGTCCCTTTACTCTAAATTTACGCAGGGGAGCATGTCTATCAATGATCTCCATAAAACCAAGATAAAAATAAGACCATGCAGTTTCTACATCAGCACACAGATCGATTTTTCCCCAATCAAACCCAAACAGATCATGAACAAAACCCTGCTCCACAAAATGTTTTATGTCTCTCTTAATAATAATAAGAGGTTTAACCTTTTGGACCTTAGTGTCCCTAATTGTGGCTACAGCACAGTGGTCACTCACATCATTCGCAAATACTCCCACAGATGAGTATTTATAGGGAACATTAGTTAGAA